GATGCAGCAGATGAAGGGCATCTACCGGGTCCAAGAGGCTCGCTTGCAGAAGTTGCATGTCCAGGCGCGGGAGCTCACGGCATGTTTTGCGTGCACATGGGAACACCACCCTCGCGAGTTCAACCAAGCCACGGATCATTTGTCCAAGCTCGCACCCGACGACGGTACCTCGTACGCGCATCCCGACGACGGATGGCACGATGTACTGCCGGCCGAGGAACTCCTGCGCGTTGAAGAGCTTTTGGCCGCCGACGTTCAACACACAACTAGTACGTAAGTCTTAGTAGGTGGAGTATTTAGTCTGTATAAAGATTTCAATCCATATCATATCAATTTATCAATAAATAAAGTACTAGTACAGTACAAGTCGTCAGGGATCTTCGAACTACAATTTTAGTCGACTTGGAAAACAACCTGTGATCCCAATATTTGGCCGTTGTTGGTCTTTCAGTGGCGTACACCACAGCTCCGGCAGGCCCTAATCTTTTTATGGAGCAGAGTGCTCCATGTGCCGCCGTCAACCATCGTATGGTGCACGTCATCTAAAGACCGACAACGACCAAATTTTGATCGAGAAAACACAAGTTATTTTTTCCGATCCATGAACTATTTTGACTTCATTTCGGCCAGTAGAGCGTCATTTTCTTGTCAAAGTGACTCGGGAATGCGTCGATGGTTCCTATACTTCTTGTGGGCATACTTCGTCAGCTCGTAATTGCAGCCCCAACGGAACGATTTGATGAAGTGTCCGCACCGACGCAAAACTTGCGAATCGACGACAACGAAAAGCTTGCGAGATTCTTCGGCACACAAGTCTTGAGTCCGTCGAACGAGCAATCACAGTTGGCCCGAGCGTAGCGCTTGGCTGCACCCCAGTTAGCTTCGATGGGGTTCAACTCGCAATGGTACTTGAGCAAGAACAGTGGTGGCCCGCACCGGTGATCGTCTCCTCCAAGAGCAATACTTGGGAGCGAAAGTCGGGTTGCGACGCGACTCAGTGTTTTGCGTAGCTAAAGAGCACGCCTTCGGGGTCGCCGACGTCGACGTTTTCGTTTGGGCACTTCATCCGCAGGCCGTGCTCGGCGACATCGATGCCACGCTCAAGAAGATCTTGCTTGATGCCCTTCGCCTGACCAGCTTTCTCCGGCCGACGTCGAAGATCATAGGCTGCTCGCGTCCGTCCGAAAACTTGCCTGGGCGCATAAGGGCTTGCGCGCCACCGGGGTTCAAGTTCATGCTCAAGGCGCGGAGGGCGTCGGGGGCGAACGCCGCGTGGTTGTTCGACTGGCCGAAGGTGACTAAGGCGATTGCATTTGGGTGCAGCTGGGCGAGCGCGATCAAGACTTCTTCCTTCACTGGGTTGATGCCGGCGTTCTTGGCGCGTGAATTGCGGCACTAGTGGGATGACCATTTCAACCGACCGGATACGCCCACCAACACCACCGGATAATGCCGCCACAAAAACCAAGATGATTGACGAAATCCAGATGTAACTCGGGGTATATCCGGACGATTGACGTGCACCCCTGTGGCCAAAAGGTGCCCCGAGCGCATACATTTCTATATTAAGGTCACTTTGGTAGAGCCTCGATAACTTCATCAAAACGCATTCAATTTTGATTCGGAGGACTAGGCTCGCTTCCTCTTGTCCAGGTCTATCGATTCTAATCCTTTTTAGCCTCAAAAGATTGCACCTGTAGATTCTATCGGCTCCCAAGTCAGCTGCAAATTTTGTCGGTCTTTAGATGACGTGCACCATACCGGTATTCAAAGAGTCATACAATTTCGATCTTCTTTCACATATTTTTATTAAAATCCTCCGATAAATAATGTATCGGATAAACTATGGATACAATTGTAAGAGGGCTGACGCTGGAAAACAGTTGTTTTATTCACGTGAGACACAATCGGACTTCGCCAGTGGACGAGGACGGCCGAGGCGATGCCACCAATGGAGACGCTGCCAGAGCTCTTGGCGAAGCACGATGTCAAAGCTCTGGACTCGATCTTGCTCTCGTGTACGGCGGTAGTCGAGGGCACGGACGGCAACGTCTTGCTTCGGCGGGGCAAGTACAACGGGAAGGACGTCGTTATCCACCGCATGGGCTACACGGCCGACGAGGCGGGCTATGCGGCCGACGAGGAGTTTACGCAGCACATTGCCCGTGTCCTCAAGTATGTCCCTCCATTCCACAATGTTTCTCTCACGCATTTTGTACTAGAGCCCAGTCGGACGTCTATACGCCTCGAGTGCTCGGCCACGCCATTGTCAACAGCGACAAAATCGCCTGTGCGGCTTTTGGAGAAGTCCAAGAGACAGTGCCGTGCCTCGTTGTCGACCGCGACGGTTTGCGGTCTCTCCACGACGTCATCGCCAGCCAATGGCTGCTCGGGGACCCGCAACTGTGGAAGCGCAAGATCACGATTGCACGTGCGATTCTACTCGGCCTTCTCGACTTTATCGCGCGCGACGTTCGGCACGTGGACGTCACTGCACACAACGTCTTTTTGAAGCCCGACTTGGAGACACCCCAGTTTGCCAACGTCGGTCGTCAGAGCAAGAGTCCGGACGGTGTCTTTACCTGGTACCCTCCCGAGCTGCTCCCCGATGGCGTCGGTCTCACACCAACAACGGACGTGTTTGCATTTGGCACGCTTTTGTACGAGATCACGACCAACCGCGAGCCGCTTCGCGATGAAGACAGGGAGCTGGCGCTGCAAACGCTTCATGACCAGCGTGGCGCGAGCGGTGGCTGCCCGACGGATCTCGTGCAGTTGATTCGCGACAGTTTGCGCCAGTTGCCCGCCGAGCGTCCGTCTCTGGAAGACGTCCTAGAACGCCTCGATGGCTTGCTTGTGCCAACGTTGCCCACCGCCGACGCAGCGTTGATCGAATTCGTCGACGGCCACGTCCCGCTTGGCCAAGGAGCGTTTGGTGTCGTCAGACTGTGTCGGTACAAGGGCATGGAGTGCGCGCACAAGCAATTGTGTCGCCCCACGAATTGCACTGATCGCCAGTACTCGACTATCGTGAGAAAGTGCTACCAAGAGATGGAGGTCCTGTCAAGGTATATATTACACGTCTCTTCCTGGTCTCGATATCAATATGTCTCAATGTAGCCTCGACCCGAAGTACGTACCACGCTTTATCGGGTGTATAGCACCTGAGCACCCAGACCAACCACCCGCCTACCTCATGGAGGTCGTACCCGGCAACGACCTCTCCAAGGAACTCTGGCAGATCAAGCAACAAGCGACGTTTCCGTGGCAAGAGCGCTGCAAGATTGCGCTCAAGATCATC